GCACTGAGTTGCCGCCATGTGATTGGCTGATTAGAAATTAAGTGTTAACAAGCAGTTGGACAGGTGTACCTAATAAAGTGGCCGGTGAGTGTATGTCCCTCTGCTAAGATAACAGATGGCTGGTTGACCTGGAGGTGGGTGTTATGGTTCAGTTTTAGAGTCAGATCTACAGAGTTCTGGTTTCCGTGTTTTTAGGATGTTGTGAGGGATCAATGCTAAACACAAAAAAGGCAAAAGAATAAACTTCTGACACGCTCTTCCTCTCAAAAAAGAAAGGATCAAAATATGACGCTGTGGGTGTTTCTGATTTAAGACATTCAGTCTAACGACAAAAAAACAAAAAGTCTTTAAAACCAAAGCAGACAGTAGCTGAGGGWTTTCGTCTCGAGACTCGATCTACAAAGTCATTACAAGACAAATGGAGAGGGAGAAACGAAGGGAAGAAAACATTCCATTTAGATGCAAATGTTGCTCATTTCCCTTCGCGATCCATCCTCTTCCTCCTCGTGCTGCTCTCACAACGAGCAGGCGGGAAAACGAGMGGGGATTTGAGCCGAGGACAGATGAGTTCCGACAGGCCGCCTCGCTCCCCAAGAAGGGATGAGGTTGTTGGTTTTCAGCGTCGAACCTCGACACCTAAGTTCATTTCTCCACATGGCCTGGCTGTGCGGCTCTGACAAGCTGACGGCCAATTACCGCCGAGCTCCACGACGAAGCGGATATTCTGGACTCAGGTGTCAGAGAGCGGGGCAGGACTCTTAATGTGCAGCGACAGAGGAGAGTGTTAGTCTGGAGCCAGGCAGGAAGCTGCATGATGAACCTAACACTTTGCTGTTTAGGGAGAATAAAAAAAGAGACAATGAAAAACAGGGTGGTGAAGACTCGAACAAAGCTGGGTTAGGATTCAGCTGCTGGGAAAACAGCAGCTGACCTGCAGTGTTTTACAGAAACCAAGAATGATAGAGGATCCAGTCATTTTAGACTAATTTGTAAAACACAGTTAACACAAAGCTCAGTGTTTTTTAAGAGTCGAGATTAATTTGAAATAGCTGCAGTTATGCTAGAAATAGTTTTATCTTTAAAAAAAACATTTTACTTACCATTTAATAGCGTGCTTATTAGCTACTATATAACAAACTGCTAAAATATAGCATGCTAACAACTAAATCTATAGTAGGCCTGTGTTAAGTTGTTAAAAACAGCAGGCTAATTACCAAATCATGCTAACTACAACATTCCTTAGAACACTCACTATTAAACATGTAGCATGCTAACWACTAAATCCATTACATTCTAAAACAGGGGTGTCAAACTCATTTTACTGAGGGCCACATGAGCGTTATGGTGGCCCTCAGAGGGCCAGTTGTGATGAACTTTGATTTTTCATGTTTAACTTTGACTAAACAGAGTTTTAACATGTCCTCTTTTAAACACTGATAAGAACTAAGTACGACTAAATGTGAAATAAATACAGAAATATTATTAAAAGTAAAACTAATATAGTTTTACTCACTGATGTGTTTCTAGCTAACATGCATTATAGCAGATTTAGTTTGTGGTTGATGCTGACTTTAAAGCAGTTTATTTTCAGACATTAGTACTGCTCTATCCAACTAAATTGCTCTTAAAGCCAACAGCTCAGGGGCAGGACAATTGTTATTATTTTTCACCTTTTAATTTTATTTTGTTGCATTTAATCATAAATTGAAAGTTTACCATTGATATTAGAGGCATTTTTTATGTTAAGTTTAAAAAAAATTTTCTTGTTGGGGGGGGGTCCACATGCCTTGACTTTGACACGTGTTCTAAAGTACAGCAAGCTAACTAGCAACTAAATCTAAACAACTACAATCTATAGTACAGAAGCCGAGAGCCCCGTTTTCTGCATATAATTATTTTTCATGGTTTTCTTGTGATAACTACATATTACGTCATATTATGTTATGACATATGCTGTTATCACAAAATACTGAGGACCGTTTTCTCGAGATAACGAGTTTCCAGATGGTTTCCCTCTCATGTATCATTCAGTAACAATGGAGAGGGCCTGGTCCCCTCATTGATGAAGTTTATTATTTATTTACCATTATTTAACCAGGCAAATCCGATGGCAGATCTCTTTTGCAAGGGCAGCCTGGACCTGAAGGCAACCTAGTGTTCAGAATTTTGTTTCATTTTCGTATCATAACAGACTAAAACTGCGATTTGTTTGTCTCGTTCAGATAACTTTATCAGCCCTCGTTATTTAAAGAGACGGCTGACTCGACTGCAGCTCAGCAGGTGTTTACACAGTCATCTTGAACTTGATGATATAATAAACTTTATCGGTCACCAGCTGAGGACATCAGGCCATCTTCATGGTTACTGAATGATAAACAAGGAAAACCATAACTCCTTATCTCGAGAAAATGGACCTTGGTATTTTGTGACGTCGTTATCACAAGACAACCGTGGAAAAAGTTATTTGAAAACGGCCACTCGTCTTCCGTACTATAGCATATTTACTAGCTGTCTAGTTTAAATTTATACAATTGCTGATAAATAGCAGCTAAGTACTAAACYAACTAGCTATTAAATCAAGAACATGCTAGTATATACTGTAGCATGCTAACTAGTTGTTAAACCAGCAGCATAACTATCACGTTAACTACCTAGTAAACGTGGTATAGTATACTATACAATATAGTATACTATATAAGTAGCCAGTGTTATGAAGACAGCTGACATTATTCACATTTTCTCAGCCAAAACTAGTAAAATTATAACTCTCACTTGAGATCCTGAGGTTCTCATGAAAATAGGCAAAACAGCAGGTTTTACAAACGCCCATAAAAATGTTTATTTCTGTTTTCTTACAAATATCAAACAGTTGTCATCAGAGAGCTGCCCATCAGACACAGAGCCGTGACAGAGGCCTGTAGCCTGGCAACAGTGAGGCAGATGATGGACGATGAAGAGGAGAAAGGGGGGTTGGGGGACTAGAATGACACAAACACACATACAGGTGCTTGTTTTCAGGAATACAGCGTTATTAATCTGGGAGTAAAACGCAAAACCTCGTCAGTGCCGGATTGAGTCAGATCAACCAATCACAGCACAGAAACACTGCACGTAATCAAATCCAGCATACAATCTGACATAATCATTTTGTAAATGTTAACATTTGTTAACAAATAAACATTTTAAAATGCTGTTTGAGTGAACGATCAGCAACAGTACTGGGTTTTACCAGCAGAGGGCAGCAGAGGACACTTCCTGTTTGAGCGACACCTCAGTGATTTTATTCTGTTATAGCGGAAACATCAGCTCTCCTGTTTGCACTAATTTAGRCTGATTTTTCTGACTTTACCTAAAAAAAAAAAAGTGAATCAAATGGAAAATAGATCTGAAGAGGAACCGACCTGGAGGGYAAAACCAGACGGTCCAGTTGTGAGGAGGTTCCACCTCCCTCCTCCTCCTCCTCCTGRTGTTGATTTATGACACTGAATGAAACATCCTGCTTTAAACTCAGTAAATATCCACACAGGTGTGTTCGTTGAAGCTCGTTTACACTCATGACTCAAGGAACTTTGGATTGTTTTAACTGCTACGAACAGTTAATATCTTACCTGTGGCAGATGGCACTTTAATAAACCTCTGGTTAAATAAAAATAATTTTTTTGACCTGATTAAAGAGCTAACTGCTAAAGTATTGATTTTATGTCAAGAAGACATATGTTACAGATTTAAGCCTACAGGTGAATTTATGAAAAGGGGTTCATTAAGTTATTTCATCTCACCGCTTTCCACAGCCAGCTGTTCTGAGAGGACTCCAAGGTGTTCCCAGACCAGCTGAGAGGCTTTAGCCCCTTCTCCATGAGCACAGTTCGCCTCAGGTGTGTGTGTGTGTGTGTGTCTACACTTCAGTGTGTCCCTCACTCTGCAGGTGTGATTATGAGTGGACTGTCTGCAGCGGCTTCAGCTGTTMTGTTAAAAAAAGAAGCAAAAAACAAACAAACAAAAAACAAGTTAAGTTGTGGTTTTATCGTTCAGATTTTCCTTTGGGCTCAACCGCCCCCCAGGTTTTGTTTGAACTTCCTGTTCAGGCCACACTTCAGTTAGCCTTTAGCTCGACAGTCAGATCAGAATGTAAATATTAACCCACCTGAGGTCCTTCAAAGAGAGAAATATCACCTGCATTTTTGCATTTTAATGTGAAAACAATCATAAAGGAATAATTTTTTTTTGCCAGTTGGACAAACACATTGAGGCTTTGAAAAAGAAACAATCAAAATGAACGTTTGAGCTTCAGAAACAGTCTTTCATTTCATTTTATTTTATATAAATCTGCTGCTACATGAAGCCAAACGTGCTCCGGGGGAATCAGTAGTCGTTTTTTTTTATAGATTTCAGAAGTCCCAGCTCTTGTCTCGTCACGTCAGACACAAAAGRCCTGAGAGGATTACTGCAGGAGAAGAGTCTCCTAATAATGCAGCTGATTCTGGGTTCAGCCTGGTTAGAGTTCTGCTAAAATGGCACCAGGAGAAGTAGTCAAAGGAAAGAACACTGCAGCTCGAGGTGTTTCTGTGAATCTGATTCAGGTCTGTCCTGATYCATCAGTCCTCTGCGACGTCTTTGTCTCAGTCCTGTACGTCAGCACACAACCCGCAAAAATCCTGAAACTTTTCTTCTTTTTGACCAACATTAAAATCTCAACGACTGAGAGGCGTGCGCCACATAGACATTTGTTTGTGTGTATAAAAAGACAAAAGTACAAATAAAAGCTTCAAACCGAGAATAAAAACTTCTGAGCGCGACGCAGGCCGGCCCTACACGGAGGTCTCGGACTGTAGCCGCAGGACAAACTTGTGAGACTTGGGGTCGATGTACTCCTCGGACATCTGGATGTAGGGGATCTTCTTGGARGTCACCACCAGGCTGAAGTCCACGCACTTGAGCAGGAAGGTGGAGCCGTCCTTCAGGCCGCTGGTGACRGACGCCTCACTGATGAGTGTCCACTGACGGGCCCGCCAGTGGTCCCGGGCGTAGCGCAGGCTGGGGCCCGGCGTCAGGTAGCTCTCCAGGAACGCCTGAGGGGAGACAAAAGAAGCTGAAGGTCAACGTGGGCACGGACTGAAAGTGTGAGGAGGACAGACGCTGCAGACCTTGGGCGTCATGTTGTTGGTGATGCAGAAGGCCAGGTGCTGCTGGATGCTCTCCATGCTGTGGCAGTGCTGCTGCTTGGTGGTCCGCAGGTACTTCTGCAGGGCCCGGGCCATGGAGGGGAAGATGGCCTGCGCCGCCTCCCGTGGGTCCATCACGTCGCCCGGAGCCTTCTTCTGCTCCTCGTCCTGCATGCGCTTGATGTGGGTGAAGGCCTCCTCGACCGCTACCACCAGTCTGTGAGGAAACACGAGGTTTTACTTCTGCACAACAAACAGGAAGTCCACCCACCCCCAGCTGCAAGAGAACCATCTGGTCCTGACCAGGTTCTAACTGAGGGTGGAGGACTGAGGCCACAGCGTTGGACCTCGGTCCTCCGTCCCTGTTCTGACAGCTGGGAGGAGCCATTTACTGCAGTGCATTCTGGGTAAACAGCTCTACTTTACCGTCATATGTTCCAGAAATCTTGTTCATTTAAATACAAATATACAAACAAACCCAAATTGTTCTGTTTTATTTTTTACACTGCAAAAAATGTCCACCTAACCAAGTTTTAAAACCTTATATCAGCCAAAAAGTCTTTTTAATCTTGTTTTGAGACTGATTTACTAAACAAGAACTGGTTGTGTAAGAATAATAATCTTATTTTCAGAATGTGTAAGATTATTTGTCTTGTTAGCCTGAAAATTTGACTCAAATTAAGTCAAAAATTTTGAGAAAGGGGTCTCTGCAGTAGGTTTTGTCCTGTGGGTGGAGACGGCCCTCCACGTGATTGGTCGGACTGACGGTGGGGTTTGAGGAGGCTGGAGGCAGCGGGGAGTAGCTTGGTCAAGTCGAGCAGGAAGCAGCATGTTTTTTAAGATTAATTTTAGTTATAACTTGAGAAAGGAACGTGCTAGCTGCACGGAATTTGAACGTCATACATGTGAAAGGATATGTAACAATACGGC